ACTAAAATGATGCATTTGAATTATACTGACAAGGAATATTGGATACACCACAGACTGCCAGAAGAATGAACAAATCTATCTTGGAAGAAGTTCGGCCATAATGCACCACACAGGGTGGCTAGTGAGACTTCATCTCCTGTACTTTGGACAGTTTTTCAGGAGGGACCAATCTCTGTAGAAGGGCAAAATTTGTGAGGCACAGAATTGGGCCATGTTTCGTTCTTTTGTACACAGGGTCCCTCTGAGTGGGAACTGACTTTGTCTATGAGGCCTCGATGAGTATGACCAGACTCAGAGGCACTTAACAACAGCAGGTTTATTGTCTTAAAAGCTAATTATTGATTGTTTTACTGCACTGAACCAGTTGGGGCCTTCTAACAGGGCACACACAAATCCCTCATCTAATAAAATATTACCAAAAAATACATGCAAAATATTCTCAAAGAAAAGCTATTCTTTCTCACTATAGGCTATATAGTTGTGTGTAAGAGAGCAGTACTATAGCACTTCCCTTTGGAATTTTTAAATGTACCCTCAATATACTCATATACTAGTGATACTGGGAACTTGGTCCCCATCTCAAGACAACCCATATACACAGAACGGAACCACCACCAGGTGCTGTGCCATCCCATGATCCAGGTGATGGTGTGTCAACTGGGATCCACAGGGTGTTCACTAGCTGCTTTGCAGAAACAACCACCAAGCTGTTTCCTATGCTTCATCTAGAATCAGAGGTGGGGAACCTCTTTTTCTGCCAAGGGCTATTTAGATATTTGTAACATCATTCTTGGTCCATACTGGTCAACCATCTCAGTAACTCACCCCTCATGTGGTAGCTGGAACTGCTCCCTTCAGTGAGCCATGGGGTGTTGGTATTGATTCCATGCTCCTGATACAGCCTGTGGGCCAGATAGTCTCCACTTCTGGACCAGATCATAGGTTCCAAACTTATTTGCAGTATCACCCCCTATTCAGAAAAAAATTACCTAGTGCCCCCTAGTAATTAAAAACTTTTGTACTATAGCCCCTAACACAGGATGAAATGTAGGTAATCTGTTTTTGCAGCTCTCTGGATTGTTCCAGCACACACACCCCCAGGGGGCGGTAGCACCCACGCTGGGAAACACCGGTCTAAATCTTTGGAATGGGTATCAATTACATATTCTCAAGAATATAAAATCCAAAATATTATATCAATGAATTTGAATTATGATTCCGCCAAAGAATACTGAAAGTACCATGGACTGCCAGAAGAACAAACAAATCTGTCCTGGAAGAAGTACAGCCAGAATGCTCCTCGGAAACAAGGATGGCAAATGTTTGTGTCACGTGCTATGGACGTGTTATCAGGGGAGACCAATGCCTGGAAAAGGGCATCAGGTTTGGCAAAGGAGAGGAGTGGTGGAACAGAAGAAGACCCTCGGGGAGACGGGCTGACACAGGGGCTGCAACACTGGGCTCAAACACAACAGCTGTGAAGAGGGTGCACAATATCCCTATGTGTCAGATCTGACACTGGGTAACCCTCCCCAACAAGCCTGCTGCTCTCAGGGAGGCCACACCACGGACCCTCCCTGTACTCCATCCCCCAGGCTCTAAACAGCAACAAAGTGAAACAAAATTTTATATTAACTACAAGTGATAAATACCAAGACAGCCCTATTTTTTTAAATCATTTTATTAGGGGCTCATACAACTCATCATAATCCATACACACACCAATTGTGTAAAGCACATTTGTACATTCATTGCCCTCATCATTCTCAAAACATTTGCTCTCCACTTAAGCCCCTGGCATCAGCTCATTTTCCCCCTCCCTCCCTTCTCCCCCCTCCCTCATGAACCCTTGATAATTTATAAATTAATATTTTGTCATATCTTACACTGTCCGACGTCTCTTTACCCACTTTTCTGTTGTCCGTCCCCCAGGGAGGAGGTTATAGTAGATCCTTGTAATCGGTTCCCCCTTTCCAATGCACCCTCCCTCCACCCTCCCACCTATTTTTTTTGTTTTCTAAAGACAATAAAATGTTCATAGTCACTGTCTTTGATATTCCAAAGAAATCAGAGGTCTTTAGTAGTTATATAAATGTAAAACTTTCACAGATATTTTTATTGCTACTTCAATTAAAAATGACTAAAAATTTGACTACCATAGTGGCAATAGTATATTAGTTAACAAGCAGTTTTGATCATTTATCTCATGAAGAGGAAATAAATAAAGACCCACTAGTTAGGGAATAGAAAGGCACAAACAGGAATTTAATAGCGATCACTAGTACTCTTTCCAGTAAACACCTATACCTTATCAATCGAGTCAGCCCCATTACAAGTTATCTCCCACTCTAGGCTACTCAGAGGGTATGTTTATCACTCCTACAAGTCCCCCCCCCCCCACCTTTTTATGCAGGGAGGTCAGCTTCTTGAGGGGTAGGAAGGTCTACCCCTCCTGCCTCTCCTGTATCCTCTCCTGTATGCCTTCCAGCTGAGCTGCAGCACTATCTGCATACTTAATGATTCGTTAACTGAAAACCAAGCCCACTGCGGACAAATGGGTTCTCATCGTGACCCTGTAGGACAGAGCACAACTGTCCGAAGGGGTTTCCCAGGCTGTACATCTTTACAAAAGGCGAGTGCCACATTTTGCCTCCGCAGACTGGCTGGTGAATTAAAACTGCCAACCTTGCTGTTAGCAGCCCAGAGCTTTAACCACTGTGCTACCAAGGTTCCTTAATTAACAGCTCTTTTATAAAAGATATTTTCCACAGCAGATAGAAGAAAATTGCAATTGGAGGGGTGGATGAAGGGGGGAGTTAAACAGGTGTATTTAAGTGCAACACAATGACAACTAGAGATGAGAGCCTAAAAGTGGCTTTGACATAACATGTTCAGAAAAGGAACAAATGAGTCTATACAGCAGAATCATTTTCTGAGGGTATTCACACACACAATCATCACCCTATTAATGCTTAGCTTTAAAAATCCATTTTGGAACTTGTATGCATTGGTACTATTATTTGATGCATATTTCTATATCACTATCTCATGTCCACATAATGTCCCTTATTCATACAAGTATGAAAGAAAGCCATTCAAGATCCCCACCCTGTCCCCTAAAAAAAATAAAAGCAACGTATTTTCCCAGTCTTCCTGGGCTAACTGCATAGTCTTTTGGTAGTAAATAGGAAGGCCATCATCTTCCTTTTTATGCACACTACTGAATGACACAAATGAATTTTTAGAGAGTTCCTGCTAAAAAAAATCTGAGCTTGTTTGGATCTACAGTCAAGTTTTAACCAAAAATTTCATCTTTCCTCTCACGTTCTTCAATCTCTCAAGCAAAATTATGTATTATATACTTTTTCAAAACCGTTATGATGCGCACTAAGTAATTTATGAGGGCAGCCTTACACTTTTACCATTTTAAATGCATGGCACTAGAAAGGACAAAAGCAAACTCTGAAATATCTTCTGAAGTAATATAACAATAGTCTTTAAAAGAAAAATATTAATGTTTCTGTTTGCCCTTAAATGATGTGTGTAAGCTTCCCTTTAAAGTGTCTGAAGGAGTCCTCATGGCACAGTGGTTGCACTTGGTTTCAGATACGAAGGTTCAAACCCACCAGCTGCTGCAAAGGAGAAAGCGGTGGCAGTCTCCTTCCTTAGAGATTTACGGCCTTGGAACTCCATTAGGCAGTCCTAGTAAGTCCTACAGGGCCACTGTGAGTTACAAGTCACTTGACAGCAGTTGAGTTTGGTATTTTTTTGTGAAAGCTGTGAACTTGCATCTCTTCTCATGCCTTTTGTTCTAAACTTATCAAGCCACTTCATTATTTTATTTTACTATCCAAATGAAGATATTAGTAGTACATCAAGCGCTGGATGGCTGATGAGTTAACTAGACAAGCAGAAAGCTTTGAACAGTCAACTAAAACTTACCACCGTGCTAGCTCCTTAAAATAAGTAGGAAGATCAGCGAAGGCCCTATTTACATGTCATTTTGCTGTTTGGTTTTAAGAAGGGAGAGGAGGGGAATGAAAACTTTCCTACAGAAGCACTCGCACACAATCGCACTTTTCAAATCATGAAAATACAACTCTCTCGTTTCTTGGCTTTTCAAGTGTTTAAACATCAGGGACATCTGCATCTTGATAAAAAGTCCTGAGGGCTCTTTGATCAAAGACACAGAAAATCCTTCCTTCAAAGAAATGTACCTTGTGACACTGCAAGGAGGAGGAGAGAGATATTTAAAGTAAAACCTGCCCTGAATTATCATCACGGACTTAAGGGCGAGACTACAAAGCCCTTTGGCTTCAGAAGGCTTTTAAACATCTTGTGGAAACCTCGGGGCTACAGCGCTGTCCTCTGAAATGCTTCTGGCTCAACCCCACTGGAGTATCATCCCCGGATAAACTCATGCACACAAACACACACACGTTGATTTTTCTTCCATGCCCGTCCCTATTCCTGACCTTCCCCCTTTGGTGCCCACGACCCAAAATATGGACACAATGGTACAAACAGCAAAGTCATGGGGCAATGCGGGGGTTGGGGGTGCCAAGGGCTGAAAGATCCAGAGCAGCTCGGTGGAAGAGGTCGCCAGCTGGCGAGCCGGTTAGGGTGAAACCAGCCCTCGGTTGGGGACGCAGACTGCAGAGGCAGACACAGAGAGCAATCTGGGATGCCCACTCTGCCCTCTCCCTGACTCTGCCCTCCATCACCCTCTCCGCCCCTGAGGACCACTCCAAGGGAGCGGGCACCACTAACTCCTATCCCCCCGACCCCGCACCACCACCCTCACCCTCGGGGGAAAGCCGCCGGGCCGCTTGGCGTGGAGAATGGGGGCTGAGCAGAGGGCGAGGGGTCCGCCACGCTCAGGTGGGGACCCTGCGGCGGGTGGCCGCGCGGGAAGACGGGGGTGGTGCCACCCCAGTGCCGCGGGGGTCGGGGGCGGGTTTCGGGCCGGCGGCTCCCGAGGGGAGGCTCCAGTGACTCACATTCTCCGTGTCCCGCTCG